AGGAATGGCGATGGCAGGTCACCTGGGGAGAAAGAGGGCTGCCGGTCAGTGAGGGTGCCGTGAGCCAGTGTGTCAGAGAGGGGGGAATGCTGGACTGGGAGACCTTGGTTCGAATCCCCTCTCTGGGCCAGATTCGAGGTGCCGGTGTCCTAGGGGCTGCCCTGAGGATGCTGCTGCCAATTTAAAAATGCTGCAGGGACCTGACCCTGATCAGGCCTGCGGCACGGTGCTCTTGCTCCCCCTACCCCCAGGGGCCTCCTAAAGTGCCAAAACAGCCTGTGTGCGCCTGTGTGCCTACAGCCATTCATTCCAGGGTTTGATACCTAGGCTTGCCATCTCTGGAATGGGAAATACCTGGGGATTTAGAGGGGGTCGCCTGGGGAGGGTGAGGCTTGGGGAGGGGAAAGGCCTCCATGGGGTACGATGCCACAGAGTCCACCCTCCAAAGCCGTTTTCTCCAAGGGAATGGATCTGGATTGTCTGGACATCAACTATTTATTTATTTATTTATTTAATTGCCTTTATACCCCGCCCTCCCCACAAGCGGGCTCAGGGCGGCTTACACAGGGCACGTAGTGCATACAATATCATGCGGCCCGGGGGCTGGATCAGGCCCCTGGAGGGCTTCTGTCAGGCCTGCGGTGGAACTGGCTGTCTTCTGCTGCTGCTTCCAGTTCTGCTACTGCGTCATCGTATCTGCAACTGCTGCATGTCTGCACCTTACAGATACACACCTGAACAGCATACTCAAGATTGCAACAGCACAGCCATTTTGATGCAATAATTCAGAGCAAGAGGTGTCAGTTATCACCAAACACTGCTAAATAAACAAAATATTGCAGAGTGCTGCTGTTTTAAGCGTGTTTTTATTTTAAGTAAAAAAAACACCCCTTTGTGTTTGCGTCCTTTATAAAGTTTCTCTACCTGGCATTCCATTTTATGACCCACGTGGCCTGGCCCAACAAGGTCTCGTTTATGTCGGATCCGGCCCTCGTAACAAATGAGCTCGACACCCCCGCTCTATGGCCTGGCATCCCTGCTGAGCCTCCTCCACTTCCCAGGCGCTACTCTCTTCCCACCCACCTGCACTCTTCAGGGACTTCCCAAGCCGGAGAAGTGGGGTTCCTTCTTCACAGGAACTTGGGCTGCTCCCGTCATATTGGGATCCCAGACTCCAGTGGAGGGTCCCAACCTGGCCCGTAGCAAACGTGGGGCCCACGGGGCCTGGCCCCCTAGTGTTTCTTCTGGGCCCCCTCTTTCCCAGGTTGACCCCAAAGTGCCCCAACCTGCTGCCTCCATTATGCTTTGATTTAATTAGCCGGTGCCCCCCCCGAGGCCCCCTCCCCCAAAATTCCCTAGCTACAGGGCTGGTCCCAACCAATGCTCCCTCTGAGCTGTGGAGTCTTGTGAGCAAAAAATCTACTTCTGTGAGCTCCTGGCATGAAAGTTGTGAGCCAATGATTTGGCTGCTGCATAAATCAGTTGGCTCGGGAGTAGTGTTCCCTCTAAGCCGATTTAGTGTGAGTTAGCTCACAGTTTTTTAGCCTCTGGCTCACACATTTTTGTCTTAGCTCAGGAAGGAGGGCTCCAGAGCAAACTAATCGATGCAGCAGCCAAATTGCTCGCTCACAACTTTAATGCCAGCAGCTCACAAAGTAGAATGTTTGCTCACAAGACTCCACAGCTTAGAGGGAACATTGCTCTGGAGCCCTCCTTCCTGAGCTGAGACAAAAGTGTGTGAGCTGGAGGCTAAAAAACTGTGAGCCAGCTCACACTAACTCAGCTTAGAGGGAACACTGGTTCCAAGGAACATCACCCTAGCGAAGACCTGGCATTTGATTGAATAATGGAGAAAACAGGGGTGGGGGGGAGAGGCATCCAGCCTCTTCTATCGCTGCTGCTTTTCCTCTGCCAAAGCCTCCGCCCCCAAGGCCGTTCCTCCCTCAGCTGTGCCCATCTCCAAGGAATGCGGAGTGATCCTCAAAAAACAGGATCACGAAACCGCGGGGGAAATCGGGCGAAACCGCGGGGGAAATTGGGCGAAGCCGCGGGTAAGAATGCAGCCGCGCGGCTTTGAGTGGGAAATTGACCGATAGCAGCGGAGCAAAGGGAGGCACGACTGCGGGGCAGCTCTTGTGTGAAATCGGTCCAACAGTTCAAGGTGATCGGAGGGTCTGGGGAGTTTTCAAAATTCGTTCCCTCCCCCTTCTTTTTGCCTACTGGCCTTTACCCCCCCCCACACACACACCCCATTAGGAAGAGGAGACCAATAGGCTGTGGCCAGCCCCCACCTGGACGTTGGCAACCCTTTGGGAAAGGGCCAGGCGCCCCACGCCTCCTCTCCAGTTTTCCCATACAAGGGCCCCCAGCCCATGCCTTACAGATAAATGGGGAAGTCAGAGTTTCTGCTGTAATACCTGGGGAGGGGGGGGGAATTTTGGTTGGTGGAGCGTGGGGAAATCTGGGGGACGCCCCAGCCACACCTGCTGCTCCTCTTGCAGCAGAAGCAGCAGCAACTCCGGCTCCGCTGAGACCTCTAGTCCTCCTCTAGTCCTTCTGATTGGAGAGATGCAATTCCAGGCTGCTTTTCTGTGTAAGCCGTGGGGGGGGGATCTCCAACTCCCCCCCCCTTTCGCATTTTACAATTTCATTTTATTTTATTGCAATCTCTTTTTTTGCATTTTTAAATATCTTATGAGACTGAAGCTTCCATGACTGTGCCCAGGGTCGTTTTGGAAACCCCATGCACATCTTACATTAATATATTTTTTTAAATGATTTTTGTCTGAGGGGGCGGTGCTCATCTGTGGGGGGGGCAAGCGTGGTTCCCCATAACAAGTGACCTAAGAGGCGCTCAGATTGGTAATATTTTTGAAGCATCGGTGAACTAGTACATGGCGAGGAGTCGGGATCTCTTGCAGTGCCCTGGAGGGTGCTGGGTATAAGGCGTGAGCCACGCGCAACTGCACACAGCCCAAGCAGAACCTTTCAGCATCCTCAGCAACGTTGTGATAGATTCAAAGATGCACACTTTTCACTGCTGTCCTGATGCTGCCAAAGCTTGAGTCCGGGGGCACCTTTCAGAGCAACAAAGTTTAATTCTGGGCATAAGCGTTCGTGTGCTCGCACCTTTCTTCAGATACTGAATGCACACTGTTATGTATTGAGACTAAGCCATTCCTTAAGCTGCACCAGGAACAGGTCGAGCTTACTACTTTAGAACAATAGCTCACCAGGATCCTGGGGCTACCCAATAGATAAGTAAGGTAAAGGTAAAGGTTTCCCTTGCTCGAAAGCCAGTCGAGTCTGACTCTAGGGTTGCGGTGCTCATCTCCGTTTCAAAGCCAAAGAGCCAGCGCTGTCCGAAGACGTTTCCGTGGTCATGTGGTCGGCATGACTAGACACCAAGGCGCACGGAACGCTGTTACCTTCCCACCGAAGTGGGACCTATTTATCTACTTGCAATTTCTTGCTTTCGAACTGCTAGGTTGGCAGGAGCTGGAACTAGAGACGGGAGCTCACTCCGTCATGCGGCACACTTGGGTCTCAAACTGCTGAGCTACCGACCTTCCACAGCCTGCAGTTCAGCGTCTTAACCACTTGAGCCACCGCAGCTCCTAATAGATAAGTAGTGTCATGTAAATAGCCTATCACTGGGAGTGGGTGTGTGTTGGGTGTAGCATTTTGCATGCTTATAAGCAGGGCTCCAGCCCTGCTAGTTGTCTTGTAGTTTGCTGAAATCACTTAATAAACCAGAGCTGATTACTGCAATGCATCTAGAACCCAGTATTTAACACACACAAATTCAACTTTGATTATCTGAATGGTGCCACTGGACTTAAACTTTCTTCTGTTGCTTCAGTCCAACACAGCGACCCACCTGGATCTCTCTTCAAGTGGTGCTGCAATCGTAGATTGGCAATCAAGGCAGGGATGTTCTAAATCGATCGGTACCTGGCACTGTGCATGGCACCTGACCCTGTGAGGGCTACAAAACACTTGGGGTCCCCTCCGGGAGGAAGTGGGAGGGTGGCTGGGAGCCGCAGCTTCCCTTGGTGCTGGGACCCGTTTCTTGTCCCTTTCGGGTGCTGGAGTCTTCCAGCTCAACTGGGGGAGGATTCAGGGGTTTCTTCTCCACTGCAGGTCTCTAAGGGGAAATAGCAGGCCTGGCCCCACAGGTCGCCCCTCACCTTTTTGCATCCGTGGCTCCCCCTCTAGCACCGCGGCACCGTTCACGGAGACGCTCCGCCCCTCAGCCTCTACTGAGTCGAGTCCGAACAGCATGTGGAGGGCCTGCGGGAAAAAGAAGGGGAAATGACAACCTCGCCCTGTTCCTCAGCACTGCATTCATGGCTCATGCAGGGTGGACGGTTCTTGGGGCCCCTCAGGACCCGACGGCAGAAGCTGCCACAGCCAAGAGGGACCAGTCTCTGTCCGGCACCCATCCTACTCCCCAGGGGAAGGACCGGGCTGCCCGGTGCATGCACACAAGCACGTTCCTCAAAGCACACATTTTTCAATGAACAAAGGCAAGCTTCCAGCCCGCAATGAGCAGAAGAAAAGTTTGAGGGGGGAAATGGTGACTGTCAGCAGGCGCAACCCACAGTGAATGTCTCTTGTGCGAGGGAATGGAAGCTCTCCACGATCTCTGGGGACAGATCCAAAGAATCTGTTCCGTCCAAGGTGTGTGTGTGGGGGGGCCTGAACCAATCCCCTTTTCTTACCCTCATCTCCTCAGAAAGCCCCGCAAGGGCCAGTTTCTCTGTATCCCATTGGTGCCCCACTGCCAGCACCACCACATCCTTTTCTTGCCCTTCCCCCAATTTTAAAAAAATCCAACTTAGTCCTTTGAAATGATTAAAGATTGTTGGCCAAACATACACAGACTGGCAAATGGAAATCATGTGCGCATTTCCCCGTTTCATAGACGGGCCAATAAAGGCAGGCTTCAAAAGAATTGGTGCCAACAAACAAAAAACCACTGTGATAAAATTAACAATGACACGTTTACTAATTCTGTGAGCATCAATTTGTGAAGCTATTCATCTGACAATATAGTTAGAGAATTCTGACACAAGCAAAGCAAAGTCCAACATAATCATATCCTCGATGAGCACACCGGTTTTTGCACACATTTGCTTTGGACTTTGCTTTGTTTATGTCAGAATTCTCTAACTATGTTGTCAGAATAATAGCTTCACAAATTGATGCTCACAGAATTATTAAATGTGTCATTGTTAATTTTATCACAGTGGTTTTTTGTTTGTTGACATGAATCTCCGCACTGTGACCCCTTCTCTGGCTTTTCTGATTTCAAAAGAATTGGGCCCAAGCCACGGCCTCACATCTGCAACAGTGTGAGATGACGAGAAGGGATTCTCTAGATGCTCAGAAGAACTCTTTACCTTATTATGGTGCCTTTTCTGGGTCTGAGGCCTGGCCATCCTGCTCAGCTTCTGGGGCTCACCCTGGGCTGTTTTTCTTAGACCTTTCTCACGGAGGTTATTTGCCCCAGGTTTGATGGTACTGGGGAGTGGGTCCCCCCCCCTTCCCCACAGCCTCTTCTGAGGTTTCTCCAGCTTTTCTCCAACATTTCCTAAACCTCCTTTGCTGCAAAGTTTTGGGAAAGATCAGAGCAAAGCTTGGGGGGCTGCTGTTTGGATTGGGTGGGAAAGTTTGGATTTTCCTGGTCCCACCTACATGACAGCCATTTTCCATGACCCCCTCCCCAGCAACTCTTTCCTCTCCTCTCCACCAAGGGGCTCTTTTGCTTTCTAAACCGGGGTGACTTGAATATTGTTCTAACACAGGGGTCATTTCCTGTGGGAGCACACAGGAGCAGAGCTCCGGCAGTAAGGAGCCCAGGGGGCAGGCACATGAAACAAGCCCTGCCCCCTGCTCTCAGTAGCCCTCAGTTGGGCCAGTAGGAGCAAGAAGCAGCCAGGTAAGTTGCAGAGCCCCCCCCTCGGCCCGCCTTCAGGGACCACCTCTCCCTCCTCTGCGAGGGCAGATCTGCACATTCCTCCCCCCCCCCAACAGCTAGCAATCCAGAACAGTCCAGTGGAGCCTGAGTGGTGGGTGTTGCCTTCTGACACACTTCCGGTGATGTCAGGAGGTGTGGCATATGCAAATAAGTTATGCTAATGAGCTCCTGCACCTCGTTTTCTACAAATGACCCCTGTTCTAACATAACAATCTGTCTATCAGGTTTCAGAAAATATTTATTTTTTTAAAGTAAATCTCCAGATCCTTCAGTTGCGGTGATATAAGGTGAAAGGCATATCTTGACAGCAAAAGGGGATAGAGACTTACTTTAAAAAAGCAATAAAGTTGGGGATTCAGAGGACCTGATACACAGACTGTCAAAACAATAGAACGATATTCAATTACTGATCTTAAAAACCAACGAAAATGGATTGAGGCGGGGTGGCCACGGCACGGGGCCTGGGGCCGGGAAAACGTGGGGCAACCTGCCACGTGGAAGCCCTGCTGCCTCGGTGCTGCACTGGCAGGCGAAGCAGTCTCAAGGACACCATGCTGGCCTGCCACGTGTGGCAATCACTTCCCGCCACAAGTGTAAACTCTGGAGCTGTGTCCTGCCCCCCCTTACCCTGTGGCAGAGGCCGGGCAAGCAGCCCCCCCGACCAGAGGAGACTTGGACAGCCCAGGTACCGTCAGACGCGGCGGCAAAGGTATACGTGCAGTTCCCGTGGAAGCGGAAATGTTTGCCGTCAAAGCTGCGATAGTGGATGCCCGCCCAGGTCACGCAGGTGGCAAAGGCCCGCCGGAGATGCCCCGAACGAGCCAGAAGCGCCGAGGGGGCTGATGGCCTGAGCAGGAATACTGGTCTAGGAAATCTCTTTTAATCAGTGGCCTCCCGGCTATCAAGCGCTTCAGTGCAGCGTATCAGTCCTCCTGATGTTTCCCCCCTTGTTTTGTCTACATGAGACAGGCACTGGCAAACCAGCTCCGAACATCATTTGCCTTGAAAACTGCCAGGGATTGCCATAAGTCGCCTGTGACTTCACGGCTCTTTCCTCCGCAACCACCAGTTTTGAGGCCAGTAGCGGAAAAAGAGCTTGTGACCTATGGACAATGTCCAGTTAGCTACAGCTTCTCTTCTGAGCTATACAGTACGACACCTTCAGACTACATAAAGCCATTATGACTTGAATTCTAGTGATACATATTTATTTTATTTATTTATTTAATTGCATTTATACCCCGCCCTCCCCGCGAGTAGGCTCAGCGCGGCTTACATAGGGCACGTAGTGCATACAATATAAATGGATAAAACAGTTAAAATTCAATGCATCGGATGCAAGAATAAAAACTCCCAACAACTTGTACAACAGCGGGGGAGGACTAGGGCCGTAAATCGATGTTACCCGGCCCACCGGCGGCATTGCTCTATAATGGCACGGTGATGGTAGTGGCAGTGGCGGCTCCTACTCAAAGGCCTGGCAGAAGAGCTCCGTCTTACAGGCCCTGCGGAACTATAATATAGCAGGAGGCGGCCAGGTGCCACCTGGAGGCTGGCAGCCGTATCGATACAGTACAGGAGGGGGGGGACGAGAGTCCCCCTGCCCCAGTAGTCTGCTCCAAACCAAGCAGCGGGGCAGATCGAGGAAGTGACCCTGAGGTTCTGAGGCTGAGGAGAGGCCCGGAGACTGGGGAGGGGAGGGGCTTCGGGAGGGGAGGGGCTTCGACGGGGAATAAGGCTAAAGTGGCCACTTTCTCCAGGTGAATGGATCTCTGTCACCTAGGGATCCGTTCTTAATCCCAGGAGATCTCCAGCTGCCCCCTGGAGGCTGGCAACCCTAGCTGATGCCCCAGTGTGGCATTCTGTTGTCCATGTTTTCATACATAGATTGTGTGTGTGTGTGTGTGTGTAATGATTCCTTGTTTTTTTTGTGTGTGTGTCTCTTTAAAGGTTTGGTTGCATGGCTGTGGTAGATAGACTAGAGTGGTTGAGAGAGGCCAGTGTGGTATGATTGGTGGTTGAAAGAGAAGGGGGGGGGTTTGGAAGTGAATCTGGGTGGATGAGTATGTGAGTCAGTCAGGAGTTTCAGTTACAAGTTGACAGTTGATGTAGACAGGCAGTTCTGTGTTGAAGCAGTTAGAAGTGGACAGCTGCGGTTGTTCAGTGAGAAAGAGAAAGAGAGCTGAAAGCTGAGCATATAGGAAAAAATAAAGTTTAAGTGAAGAAAAGTTAAAGGAAAGTCTGAGTGTCATAACAAAGTGGAGTGAAACAGTGAACATATAAGGCATTGAGATAAACAAGTGTCACAAAGTTACATGAAAAGATCCCTGTCAGTGAGGGAAAAGATTGTGTGTGAGACCAAAGCAATTGTTCAACATTTACACATTACTAGTTACATTGTACCACCCTCTTATTTAGTAGTTATTTCAATAAATCCTATTTTATCCAAGTTTATACCAGCTCTGAATGAAATACTTCCCAGAACCACATAGTTCCTCGTAAGCCTTGAACTCGGTCTACCAAACTAGTAAGAGCAACATTATAAGCATAAAGGTTGGGAAATCCTTAAAATTTCCTGGTGGCAGCAGAATATACCCAGTTAAACCAAATAAAGAGAACTTTTAAAGTGAAACTAGTCCTCCCCAATAAGGAGGGCATCACAGTGTGTGTACACACACACACACACACACACACACAAGTTTTATGTCCCTGGACCCTGCTGCATTGGTTCCCCAGCCCTCCTTGTTGAATTAAACCTGATTTGTATTTCGGGTTTGTAATGTATTCATCCCCAACCGCGGAGGCAACCTGGTCACCATGTGGTCAGGTGAAGTAGCAGAGCTTCGGGAATGAGAACAAAGGGTCAAGCGGATCCTAGCCTGCACCAGTAGGAGGGCTCGGATCTCGACCAAGAGCCTATGGATCTCTCGGACACTCTAAATAGCCAATCACGGGTGTGGTGTGTGGGGGTGTTTCCTGGGTTATATACACCGGCCTGCGAGCCGGCTCTTTGTCTTGTTCTGATCTAAGTAAAAATCTGAGCTGAGATCGCTCCCGTCTGCATACTTTTCAGGGTTCTACTTGGCAAGACCGATTTCACACAAGAGCTGTGACGCGGTCGAGCCTCCCTTTGCCCCATTTCTATTGGTCGATTTCCCACTCAAAGCCACGTGGCCGCATTTTGACCCACGGCTTTGCCCGATTTCCATCCTCAAAAAACAAGATCACGAAACCGCGGGGGAAATCGGGCGAAACCGCGGGGGAAATCGGGCGAGGCCGCGGGTCAGAATGCAGCCGCGCGGCTTCGAGTGGGAAACTGACCGATTGCAGCGGAGCAAAGGGAGGCACGACCTCGGCGCAGCTCTTGTGTGAAATCGGCCCAACAGTTCAAGGTGATCGGAGGGTCTCGGGAGTTTTCAAAATTCGCTCCCTCCCCCTTCTTTTTGCCAACTGGCCTTTAACACCCCCCCCACACACACTCACCATTAGGAAGAGGAGACCAATAGGCTGGGGGGGGGCTGATGCTCTCTTTTTTTGTCAGACCCATAATTTCTTCCCTCAGCCTCAGTCGGTGGGAGAAACTGGACTTCCCACCGTGACGGGGCCCGTGGGACTCTTGTACTCTCCGCCGCAAATCCCTCTCATGGGTAGTCAGGGGGCCATCTAACTCGGCCTCCTGTTTCTTACGGCGGCCAAAGGGATGCTCCTGGGAGGCCCACAAGCAGGGCGTGGAGGGAACAGCCTCCCCCACGCTTCCTCCCCCCCCCTTTATCAGATGGGATCCTGCTGGGGCTCAATCCTGCCTTTGGCTCCCAGGGTCCAGGAAGGGTCTTGGGGTTGTCTCCACTTGGCCTACCAGCTCTGGCCTGGGACATTCCGGAGATTTGGGGGCAGTGCCTGGGGAGGGTGGATTTGGGGGAGGACTTCCCCTAGTACGTACAGTGTGCCACTGCATTTACCCTCTGGAGCTGTCTGGAGACCAGTTGTCACCCCAGGAAATCTCCAGGCCCCACCTGAAAGAAATACATGACCTGTCCCCGTCCCCCCACCTTTCTTGGGCACGTAGGAGCAGCTGAAGCAGATGCCGGAGGAGGAGTTCTTCCAGCTGTGCCCCCCAGGGCGGCCGCAGCACTCGTCTATGCTGACCAATGAGAGATTCTGCATCCCTGGCACGTCCTGGCACTGCCAGGTGGAAAAGCAGCGGCCTGCCAGCCCCATTCCTGGAAGGGGGTGGGAAGAGAGGAGAAAGGGAGGGGGGAGAGAACAAATCAGAGAGTAGGCTACGGTTCATCCCCCAAATGTTCTGCCACTGCAGGGAGCCCAAGGCAGCCAACATGTGCCAAACAGGGGCCATTTTGCATTTAATTAACAGATACTGTTCAAATTGAGGCCCTCTTTGCCACCATGGTATTCACAGGAAACCTGAAATTGATGTATAGGGTAAACGAAGAAGGAGAAAGATTAGATTTATACCCTGCCCTTCACTACCCGAAGGAGTCTCAGAGCAGCTTCCAATCTCCTTTCCCTTCCCCTCCCCACAACAGACACCCTGTGAGCAGTGTTCCCTCTAAGCTGAGTTAGTGTGAGCTAGCTCACAGTTTCTTAGCCTCCAGCTCACATATTTTTCGTTTCAGCTCAGGAAGGACAGCTCCAGAGCAAACTAATTTGTGCAGCGGCCAAATTGCTCACTCACAACCTTAATGCCAGGAGCTCACAAAGTAGAATCTTTTGCTCACAAGACTCCACAGCTTAGAGGGAACATTGCCTGTGAGGCAGGTGGGGCTGAGAGAGCTCTTTTGAGAACTGTTCGTGAGAGAACAGCTCTGAGACAACTTGTGACTGACCCAGGGCCACACCTGCAGCTGCATGTGGAGGAGTGGGGAATCGAACCCGGCTCTCCCAGATCTGAGTCCGCGCTCCTAACCACTACAACAAATGGGCTCTGACAGTATTAACTGCTCTTTGGTTTTCAAATACTTTCTCCCTAGGATTTTTGCTACTATTTTATTCCTGTACTGCCAGTATTTAATGAAGTATAGATCCCCCCACCCCACCCCAGTAGCTGGTATCATGCTTCGTGAAACTCTCAATGTTCTTTCTCCCTTCTGTAGCTTAGTTTGGGATCTATTTCATGCCCACACCAGGTGACTAAAAGACATTTTCAGTTCCATGTAAATACCTCAAAAGTGCTTGAACTGTGAGCACAGCAAACAGAGAACTACCCTGTCAATCCAGCATGGTTACCAGACTTGATCCTGGGAGAGTCAGGGAGGCATGGCTGCTGGTCGAGCTTTGGCCACGGAGTGGAATATCACAGCTCCGGGCATCCCCCGGATGTGCAGCTGGACCTCACATTCAGGACCTGGAACTCTCTGCAAGCAGGGGATCTGTGGCCTGCTCTCTCTCTCACCCACCCACCCCAAGTTCCAGCTCCCACCACGCCCCACTTTACCTTCTGAGCAATGGGGTCCACTCCATCCCTCACAGCAAGCGCGCACTGTGCGGTTCCACACCAGGGGCCTCGTGTCCTCGGGCCTGCAACAGAGAAGAAAACAGGTATGGAGCCAGCCACGGCGGAGGCAGGAAGTGTGTGCAGTTCTGGTCACCACACCTTAAAAAGGATATTATAGCTTTGGAAAAAGTGCAGCAAAGGGCAACTTGAATGATAAAAGGGTTGGTACACTTTCCCTATGAGGAAAGGTTAAGGCGCTTAGGGCTCTTTAGCTTGGAGAAACGACCACTGAGGGGTGACATGATTGAGGTTTATAAGATTATGCATGGGAAAGAGCATGTAGAGAAAGAGGTACTTTTCTCCCTTTCTCACAATACAAGAACTCAAGTGGGCACTCCATGAAACTGCTAAGCGGTCGGGTTAGAACGGATAAAAGGAAGTACTTCTTCACCCAAAGAGTGATTAACACATGGAATTCACTGCCACAGGAAGTGGTGGCAGCTACAAGCATGGACGGCTTCAAAAGGGAATTAGATAAGCATATGGAGCAGAGGTCCATCAGTGGCTATTAGCCACAAGGTACACACACACACACACACCCAAGTTCCAGCTCCCACCGCCCCCCACTTTACCTTCTGAGCAATGGGGTCCACTCCATCCCTCACAGCAAGCGCGCACTGTGCGGTTCCACACCAGGGGCCTCGTGGCCTCGGGCCTGAAACAGAGAAGAAAACAGGTATGGAGCCAGCCACAGCGGAGGCAGGAAGAGCTTTGTCCTCTCTCAGAGGAAGAATGTGGCACCTTTAAGACTAGCAAAGTTTAAATCTCTGGCTATCAGCTTCCATGGGCATCCTCTGAAGAAGCGTGCATGCACACGGAAACTCATACCCAGTATTAACCAAGGCCAACCCCACTTAGCTTACAAGACCTGGTGGGACTGGGCTCGCGGGGGCCATCCCGGTCAGGACCAATCTAGCCCCAGGCACATGCCTTGGACTTCCTTTTTTAAAACTTTACTAAGCAAAACCTCGTATGGTTTTGCTGGGTCCAAAGTCCCCTTTCTGAAGGATGCTGAAGATGCCATTTTGCAAAAGTTGTCTTCTTCACAGCATTCATGTTTCACAACCCAATGATAAAATAGGTTACCTTGAAAACATGTTACATAAGAACAGAAGAGACGCCGATGTTGGATCAGGCCAAAGGCCCATCCAGTCCAACACTCTGTTGTCACACAGGGGCCAGAAATACCAGGGGCCATCGGGAGGCCCAGCAGTGGGGCCAGGAGGACACTAGGAGCCCTTCTCACTGTTGCCCCCCCGCCAAAGCACCCAGAATCCAGAGCATCCCTTGCCCCAGACTGAGAGTTCCTATCTAGACCTTGTGGCTCATATGCTTTCCCTCCTTCACTCTCCCTCCAGCATCCCCCGAACTATACTGCTGTTAGTTCACAGGGGCCCTGTGAGTGACCTCAAGAATCTACTTCCCAGGGGTCGGAAGTAACTGCCTGGCAGTGGGGGACACAGCAAAGACCCAAGTCCCTTCCACGACGGTGCTCAGGATCCAGCCTGCCACCTTCTTCTGTAGCAGCTTCAGGACTGATGGTTTTGGACTTGAACCACCCCCAACTCTCCATTTGGAAGGATTCAGGAACGGGATTTATGCAGCCAAAGTTCCGTCGGGTGACACATGCGTGGAAGTGGGAGCAGGGTCTTGCCCCTGGTTGTGTCCCCCCCCCCGGTCTTACAGGGCACATCAGGACTGATGGTTTTGGACTTGAACCACCCCCAACTCTCCATTTGGAAGGATTCAGGAACGGGATTTATGCAGCCAAAGTTCCGTCGGGTGACACATGCGTGGAAGTGGGAGCAGGGTCTTGCCCCTGGTTGTGTCCCCCCCCCCGGTCTTACAGAGCCAGTTCTGCCCTCCGAGGGCCGGGGTGCAGTGGGCAAGAGCCAAAGACGCCTCTTCACTGACACAAGATGTTAAATCAGGGGGACCCGAGGGTTTTCCACTGCCTTGCCCACTCTGGGATAAGCAGAGCTTGTTGTGAGATGAGGAGCAAAGAGCCCCTTTGGGAGATCTGGGATTGGAGCCTGGGGAGAGCGGGGTATAACGCCATACAGTCCACACCCAAGGCTCCCTCTAAGGTGTGCAGTCCTGTGAGCAAAAATTCTACTTTGTGAGCTCCTGGTATTCAAGTTGTGAATGAGTGATTTGGCAGCTGTATAAATTAGTTTGCTCTGGAGCTGTCCTCCCAGGGCTGAGACAAAAATGTGTGAGCTGGAGGCTAAAAAACTGTGAGCTGGCTCACACTCACTCAGCTTAGAGGGAACACTGCTCTTGCAGAGTGCCGGGGGTTGGACTAGATGACCTGCAAGGTCCCTTCCAACTCTCACATTCTAGGATTCTATGATTCTGTGCATTAGAGAGTTGGACATTTTGTTTCTCTTAAATTATCTTGCCAGCTCTGTGCCTGGTTTAGCCCCATACGACCCTGGCAGGGCTTATATGCATACCAGGTGCAAGCAAGCAGAAGCCCATGAAAGTTTGGACCACAAACATT